CTTTGTAGGCAAAACTGTGGAAGGCTTGGAAATGGACCGAAGTCTCCTCGTGTCCTGAGTGGAAATGCTGTGGTCGGTCACCAGGCTATCGGGGCCTGGCCTTGCCGTTGAGCCAGGTTACACGCTGCAGGTTGCTTGGTCCTGCTGGCGACACCCGTGTTTCCCGCCGGGACATGCACTCGTCTGGTGGAGGGCGGTTGACCGTGGCCCTGTGGCGCCAACCACTGTGGGTTTCGCGTCTGTTTAGCAAGTTCATTTCGGCGTTTCTTTTTTTTTCTCTTTAAGTTTTTAATGAAAGTTGTATATAATATTACTTTATTCCTGCATCTTCTCAATTGTGTCTTCCTTGAATTTTCTGTTTTCCTTTCCTACTTGGCTTTACATTCAAGGATCTTTTTGCGGTCTGTGTCCAGTGTTAGTCTGGTGATCACCGCCTGGCGGGGGCGAATGCCCACATGCGCAGTTGTACCGTTAGCTTTCTCCCACTGCGCTCGTCCAGTGTGATGACATATTTCTTCCTGTCCACCTGGGCCACTTTGCCCAGTTGCTGCCCTTTGTAATGTCCCCGAACAACCTGAGCTTCGTCATCCTTTCGGATGGGCACGGATCCAACACTGCACTTCTGTCTCAGCTCTTTGGAAAGAGCAGAGCACACAGTCTTCTTGCGAATGTGGGAAGGTGCATTGAAGTGCCTTTTATGGTTCTTGCTCCGGTCAGAAACCACAAAGGGATTGAACCGCTGGCGCTTCTGCGGTGGCTGCAAAAGGGAAGAGACCCACACGCTCCCTTCGGCGTTCCTGGTGTCCTGCGTACGTGTGGTTCTCCACAGTCTCCCGGGGATAACATCGTACTGATCCCCTCACTCATTGACACGTTTCTGTTTTATCCGTCTGTACAAGAGTTGTGCCAAAATATTTCTCAATATTTGCTGTATTTTCCAGGGAAAAAGAAAATATTAAGTAGAGGCTGTTTTCCTTCTCAAGCGATCATCATTTGAACTAAGAAAGTTGCTGGGGAGTCCTGGCCAGGTGGCTCAGTTGGTTGGAGCCTCATCCTGAACAACAAAAGGTTGTGGGTTTGATCCCCAATCAGGTCAGGGCATGTACCAGAGGCAACCAATTTATGTTTGTCTGATATCGATGTTTCTCTCTTTCTCTCTCCCTTCCTTTTGCTCTCAAATCAACAAAAAACATATCCTCAGGTGAGGATTAAAAATGAAAGAAAGCCCTAGCTGGTTTGGCTCAGTGGACAGAGCATCGACCTGCAGACTGAAGAGTCCTGGGTTCGATTCCTGTCAAGGGCACATGCCTGGTTTGCGGGCTCGATCCCCAGTAGGGGCATGCAAGAGGCAGCTGATCAATGATTCTCTCTCACGTTGATGTTTCTATCGCTCTCTCCCTCTCCCTTCCTCTCAGAAGTCAAGAAAAATATATTAAAAATAAATAAATAAAAGAAAGCTGCTTGGCCAAAACCGGTTTGGCTCAGTGGTTAGAGCGTCAGCCTGCGAACTGGGAGGTCCCGGGTTCGATTCCGGTCAAGGGCATGTACCTGGGTTGCAGGTACATGAGAGGAAGGGAGAGGATGTGCAGGAGGCAGCTGATCGATGTTTCTCTCTCATCGATGTTTCTAACTATCTCTCTCCCTTCCTCTCTGTGAAAAATCAATAAAATATACTTTTTAAAAAGGTACAAACCTCCAGTTATTTAAAAAAAAAAGAAGAAGCTGTTGGGGAGGAGTATATTAATGAGTCAGTTGGCTCCTCCTGTGGCCGCATGACTAGCTGTCAGCTCCTCACTGGTTGGGTTTCTCTCGCTTCAGATTCTGACAAGCCCACAGGCTTCAGGAGGAGAGCGGGGGGGTGTGGGCGTTGGCTTGGTCCAGCAGTCAAGGCCCTTGTGGTCTGGTCTCTGTCACCGCTTCCTACTAACTTAGCAAGTCAAACAGCCCTCCTCTTCTCCACATCCGTGTCTCTGAACACACCGCTCCCTAGCATCTCCCCTCTCTACTCGCTCTGGACACTCAGATTCTGACCAGCCTTCAGGACCCAGCTCAGGGGCTGCCTTTTCCACGCGCCTTCCCTGTTCCCCCAGCAGGGAGATGTGCCCGGCTTCCTGGTTGGTCCTGTCATGGATGCCGTGACCACACACTCCGTGACTCCGTGCCAGCCGTCCAGGCCCCAGAGCGGAGCTGCCGAAGGCACGGGGACGGGACTCCGTCAGAAAGAGGGTGTCCCCCATTCCCGTTTGCACGGGGCCTGCTCACACTCCTGGGGCGTGTGAACACACAGCCGCCTCTCCACGCGGAGGGAGCCGGGAGACCCAGGCCTGTGCCTGAGCAGCCTCTCTCAGCCGCCCGAAGGAATTGCCTTTGTTTGGTGACTTACCGCTGCCCTGGAGCTGCTGCAGCAGCAGGAGGCCCGGGCGCCCTGTGGCCTGGCTCCCGGGGGCCTCAGGTGTGTCTGCGAACCTCAGCGTTGAGGGGACGGTACAGCCGGGGTCCACCCCTCCTCGTCGGGGAAGAGGAAATGGGGGCCCAGAGATAGGGAGAAAGTCGCTCAAGATTGGAGACCTAGCGTGGAGCCGGCCCAGAATCCAGGCTCCCAAATCCAGCTCAGCCCTGCACATCCGGGTTTTTCCTGTTGGGGTGCATGTGTTTTCCTGTTTCCCGTTTCACTTATGAAAACAATCTAGCCTAAAACACCATAGAGGCGTGTTTCTGTAGGTACACACGCACGCACGCACGCACACTCGCTTCCTGGATCGTACTGATAATTTACTAACAAAATGCTGGGTCTTGTCCGCTCACACATGCTTCCAGGAAAGGCCGAGGCCCCACTGACCTGACTGGCGGAGATCCAGTGAGCCGCTCTTAGGTCCAGACCAGACGTGCCAGCTGCCTGCTCCTCGTCCCACACACCGAAAAGGACACACATGGCCAGGCGGTTGCGGGACGCTGAGCAGCCAGTCCCAGGTGCAGCCCCGCCCTCATCAGAGATGAGAGCTGTCTCGTCTCAGTGACGGGCCCAGGGGAGCTGGGAGATGCCCGGGTGTCTCCTCTGGGCCTTTTCCTCCGTGGAGGGTGCGGGTTCCTTAGGGCGCCCTGGCTCCCGACCGCTCACAAGCAGCAACAATGTTAAGCTCACTTTTGATTGTGACAACAGCACAGCAGCTGCAGAGAACATTTTAGAAGCTGAAACCTGTGATGTTACTGAAACGGGGCTTGCAGTTGTATATTTTCCCCTCTTAGGCTTTGTCTAAATGTGTACAAATTTGCCCACAAGTCTCTAAAATGTTTAGAATTGTAATCATAGCATCTAAAGCGTCATATCCTTTTTGGTTTGTCGTACGTTCCTCCACGTCTCCGCAGTCTTCATAGTAAGCATTGTCACCGTTACCTAGTAACCGGGAGTTGTTCCCCGGTGTTGTGGCATGGAGCTCCCTTCCGGCCTGTGGGTCGTCACCCACAGCCCCCGACTGCCGTGGTGCCTGCGCCCTTTCTTCCCTTGCTGAAGCGTTTCCTTGGTATTCGTTCCCAGAAGTGCAATGTGTGGGCGTCTCTGTAGTTTCTTTAAGTCCTCTTCTTTCTTGCCTTGCTCCGCCAGCAGCCAGTGTGTTTGGTTGCCATGGAGACGTGTGCCCTGGGTTTCCCTTCTCCCCCCGCAGGCCCTGCCCACCCAGGTGGCCGTGTCCCCAGCTGGCACACTGTGGAGCGGAAGGGAGGGTCCGTGCAGAGGGCAGGCATGGCCCTGGCTGGCGGCCACAAACCCTGTGTCTGGACACCGTATGTCAAGTGGCCCGTCTGAGGGGACGCTGGCGCCCATCGGTGGCCCGGGGTGGAGTGAGAAGGAAGAACAGTGTGCTGAGGTCAAGTGGAGCTCTCACTGGATCCTTGCAGAACAGACTAGGGGACGAAGGAGGCAGGGCTCTGAGTCCAGCTAGTGAGATTTTGTTCACTTTGTAAAGACTAACTGAGCGCGTTCCCTGCTGGGTCCATGCTGGGGCTCAGGCTGCTCTTGGTGTCCGTGGCCTGAGTTGGCAAGTGATGGACTAGATGAGGGATCCTGTGTGCTTACCTCCCCGGGGCTCACAGAACAGGGGGCGCCCGGGTCCTGGGGGTGAGGATTATGCCGACAGGAATTGTGCCCCGTGCCGACCTGGCCTCAGAGGAAGGCCACCGAGGGCTGGGCGGGGTCCACGCGGGACAGTGCTGGGATGTGCGAGTCCAGGCCAGAACTGGTGGCTCTCACTGCTGGGACCCAGGCTCACATCCCGGGGTGGGGTGCACTGAGACCTGCCAGCCACACCTTGGGGGGAAAAAAAATTAAGAATAAAAACCATTGCCCATCCCACCTTCCAAAACCCAAACATCCATACCTGTAAGGACCATGCATGGATTTTAC